CCTGTGGAACCAGGTAAGCGTTGCACCGCACACTCAGACCCTTCTTCGGTCCGCTCACAAGCCGCCCGAGTTGGGTTCCTGCGTTCCACTTCGCTGCCCCACTGCGGGTATGGCAGTGGTTCCGTTGTTCCCGCTTGCACAGTATCTGGGTGCCTGGCTAGAGCTTCCCAGCCCGTCTCGCTGGTTTCTGCGGTCCATCAGCCTCGGCTATGTTTCATAGTATAAAAAGGTTGAGGGAAATTTGATTCAATGACGTGACCCCTTTAAAATTGTGATGAGGTCATGTGAAAGTCACAACAAATTTCAGGTCTTATGGCAATAAATATATACCCTCCTGTTCCTTTTCAATAACACCTGATATAAATGGCTTTTTCATAACCAGCTCGTCTGGTTTGGTTTATCTTTGCAGCTGCTGCTTATAATACCAATAATAAACTTGTGTATTCTCTGGTTATCATTACAATTGATGCTGTTCAGTAGGGGAGTAATTTAGGGTGCATGCATGCTCTTAGACATGTACAGACGATGCTTTGCAATTAATGCATGATGAACATACATGAGGTCCTTTGGAGCCTTGAAGATGCCACTTTGAATTTGTTTATTTCATTTGGAGAACGCATGACTGTCTACAGCAGTGTCCACCCGTCTCACAGATCCTCTGGGGGTTTTTCAGGGGACATATTGTGTCAAGGCAGAATGATTGGCTGTTTGAAAACATGAAAGGGCAAATTCACTAAATAGTTGCAGCACTTTTGCATTGTGGTATTTCAGCGCTCTATCTTATTCACTAAACACACACAATCCATTTAAGAAGGCGTTAAATGTGCTGAAATATTGCTATGCTGTTTTGAAACCAAATTATTTTTAATCTTTTCTGCACAAATTAGGCCTGTAATAGAAGTACTTTGTTGCTACAAATCTCAATTAACATCAAAATACTGACCACAGAAACTGGGCAGTAAATGGAATTTTATTTTAAAGAGTTATTTGCGTACTTTTTTCTGTCAATCAGGACCACAGTTATTATTCAAATTATGGAAAATAATTAAATGCTTGAATCATGAATAACAGCAAAGTGGATGGCATAAAAGTGTAATACAATTAGTGCTATTAAAGTAGCTCTGGTTTTATAATGTTTTAGTCATGAAAAAGTCTATATTTAACTTTTAAGTATAAAAGTGATACAATTGCATGCAATCTTGGTAACTTCAAATAAATCTCAATAAAATTGAATTTATATTTATCTTATACACTATGCATCGTATCCACAGTAGCTAATTCTTTAAAATGTATAAAAAAGATTAGTTTGTTTTAGTGCTAGGCGGTTTGTCCAAAAATCTGTATCACTTTTTTTTTTTTTTTTTTTTCAAAGATCCCCAATAGAGTATCAAGTTTGAAATTAATTGTTTTAGTCCCTCCATAGGTTTCAATAATTGGTAACGAAATAGGTAGCTTTTTTTTCCTTCTTAATTTTAAAGGTAACACTCAATATTTCAATTTTTTATGCACATTGTTTATTTAGGGGAAAACATATGTTAATGATGAGGACAGTCACACCAAAATACAATTTCAACATTTAGCTTGAATTTACAATCAAAAATAAAACTGTAGGTTTATGGACAAAATCTGTTCGTATGTATGTATGTATGTATGTATGTATTTTTTTTAAATTTTTTTATTTATTTCACAGTCATGTACTTCCCAACAATTATATTTCATTCAATGCACTAATAACCTGTTACTAATGATGTTAGTGTTATTTATTCATGCATTCATTCATTCATTCAATTTTCAAAGTTTGTGTTGTTGATGTATGTAGCATATTTGTACTCTAAAAGTAACCCTGCCAGCAGACAGTCCTCCAACTTTCACGACCCACAGTTTAGTGTGTGTCTCACTCACTTTTCCACAAGTTCTCAATTAAACTTGCATTACCATGTAAACAAATGTAAATGTGTGACCAAATGCACTACGTCCTAGAAATCATTTAAATTGGGCACAGTGTTTTACTCATGGCTTCTGCTGCCTGACAACAATTAATCCAGTCCTAATCGTCCCCAGGCACACGTAAACTATCCTCAACCTTTCACAGTAGCACAGGTCTTACAAGGAATGAATATATTGACCGGCCATCTCATTCAGCAGTACATAATTCCATACAGCCTATATTTGATGAGCTAATTTCAGCCGAAAATGATTCACTTTGTCTAGATTTTGGCTGTGGCCTGTTGTGCGAATGACATATTCTAGTTTAGTTTTCTCAGCACACTGTGTGAATTTTAAGACTTTCCCCCCCCTCTTTCACTCATGCTTGCTCTCTAAAGCCACCGTAAAGGTAAAACACTCAGACCTCTGGGCTTTATAATCCTCAGGTTTTCAACATCATCTTTGCTTTCAGGTCTGGCCTGTTGTTGTTGACGAAGACGCTGGACAGAGAGATCACGGATCACTACACGCTAACGGTCACGGCCTCCGATGGCAAACCAGATGGGGTAAGACTGAAGCCTGTCAATCAATCAATCACACCCAACTGAAGACGAAAAGCTGCAGTAGCTGCAGTTCAAAAGATCGTAATCGAATCTTCTGCTTAAACAGACATCACATGTAGACACAGTACAACATGGCAGACTGAGTCTAGCAGAATCAATCATGCTGATGGAAGGAAGGGCAGATGAGAGTTAAAAACAGTCATAAAGTGTGCTGGGAGTATCGTATAGTCATCTGTAGTCCCACAGGTCTGTTCAGTGTTACTGGCTGCATGAATGTATTTACACAATTGTATATAGACAGTGGTGACAAATAGAAATAAATTATTGTATTCATGATTAATTTATTCTGTCAGTCAAGTAGACAGTCAAATGAATCTTTCACTCGCTGATTGTTGTTTGTTCATCAATCAGTTTGTTCATTAATCAATTTGTTCTGTTTAATTTATGTATTTATATATATATATATATATACATAACTGGTCAAAACTTTTAATATAATTATGATTTTTTTTTATGTTTTTGAAAGAAGTCTCTTTTATGCTCACCAAGGCTGCATTTATTTGATTAAAAAATAATAATACAATTTTTTAAATAAAAAAACGTTTGCATTTTATAAAATTTCAATTAAAAAAATTGTGAATTTTAAAATGCAATTATTCCTGTAAAGCTGAATTTTCCAGGCTTCATGGTCAAAAGAATACATTCCTTTTTTACGTTTTTATCCAAATAGAAAACAATTATTTTAAACAGCAATAATATTTCACAATATTACTGTTTCTACTGCATTGTTCATCAAATAAATTCAGCCTTGGCGAGAATACGAGACTTCTTTCAAATACATTTTGAAAAATCGTAATTATTCCAAACTTTTGATCAGCAGTGTAAGCATAACCACAATATAAATATATTTTCAGTAACTCAAAATAATGTTCAATTCACTAGCAGTAATGCATTAGACATCATGAACAATGAACAGTTTGTTTTACGACATTTATTAATCATTTTATAGTTGTTGTATTGTTCATTTTTGTATTACTATAACAGTACTATATATTCATAATGGTGAAAATTTGAAAGAATACGTATTTTATATATGGCATTATGTTTATATGAAAAGAAAAGAGAAGCCTTCCATTGATTCACTCATTCAGTCAATCAAGCTGATTGCTGTTTATTTGTTTATTCATTAATTTCAAGTGTTCGATTTCTTTTGTTTTTTTTCATGCTGATTACACAGTATATAAATGTAGTTATGAAAATGGAATTTTAAGAAAGAACAAGGATTAGAATCAAAGTAAAGAGAAGCCTAATATTGATTCATTTATGCAACCAAACAATCAATGATGCACATCAATCAAACAAATGATTCCTTCACTCACCGATTGTTGTTTGTCCGTTCCTTCGTCCATTTGTTTGCAACAGTGTTTGGTTTCCTTTGATGGGGTGAGTCTCCGAGCAGTTACCAGCGATTGGTCTCTCCTGTTCACTCCACTCTCACAAAGGGCTCATTGTGATTGATCTAAATAGAGGAAAATGAGGTGCATCTTACAATGGAGTGATTATACCGTAATGATGGAGATAAACGAGCCGAACGTGCTTTTTAATTATGAAGCACCTTTCGCTTCACTCTCTCATTGAGCCTATTCCCCTTACTGGAGAAAATCTCACTTAGTATTCCTCGATAAAAGAGATGCTTGGATTTACAACCCACTTCAAGGACATGTAATGTGTTCACCTCCAAACTCAAGGATAATCACTTGCCTTCTTCAGGAAGAAAGTGCATAAAGATCCAGCTTTAAGCACAATGGTGTCCATTTATATCCGGACTGTCAAGGTGGTTGTCAGGTGGTGAAGTTATGTTACATCAGAGTCGAAAGTCTGGGACTTTACTGTCACGTTAGCGTAGGCTTTACAAACAAATGATGGCGATTCCAATGCTTTAATAACCCCTGGAATAATTCAAAGCACATCTTAATTGGCAGAATTCTCAGAGCCGTGATCTCTCCTCTTTCCTGGCCTGTTGAGAAAGACGTCCCCTAGGTGCTTAGCTCATGAAAGTAAAATGAGAAAACAGTGCAGCAGGTTTCATTCCCATCTTCCCATTTACCTGCAAGTGTCCCTCTGTGACCTTTCTTATTCACTTGCGGCTAAAAATCAAGGGTGAAGTTGAGACGTAAGGCTGGGGGAGCAGGTGCGGTTAAAGGTTTTTCTAAAATTCAGTGACCTTTCCTAAACCACCTGGTCATTAGCCAATTTAATAAACAGTCCTTTTCCTGCAGAGGAGAAATGGAAAAGTAGGTCCCTTTCTAAGGGCTCTGGGCGACACTCAGAGTTGACCTCTGTGCCCGCTGAGGTCACTTGGGCCGCTTCTTGCATTGCACAGGGCGATGTGAGAGCCAGACAGATTTACAAAGTCCACAAGAGAGATTTCTTCATCCCCAATCTGTGGATAGAGGAACAGATACAGCCAGACGCCTGTCTGGTGTACACAGACATTTGACTATTGGCACAAAGTCTTGTTCGCTTTGCTGGAATGGGCACAGTTCAGTATTAGCTCCCTTTCAATCCCAATCCATCCATCTGACCGACCAAGGTTTTTTGATGGCTGCAAGCAGGGTGGCTGATGGCTTATATAAAGCTGATTTACAGAACTTGCATCTTTCACAAGGACAGACCATCAAACACACAGTACATGCGTTTTTATACAGGATACAATGCACTTTTCAGCTGGATTCGCCAAAGTTTGGAAATTAGATTAAATGTTCAGCAGGTATTCAAAGACTTGTTTAAATGATACAAATGAGTATTTTTTTGAATGCCGACATTGTATAAAAATATTATAGCATTTGCTATTCTATTATTAGACAGAACTGCTAAGTGGTGTCTTCTATCGAATGTTGTGCCCTCCAGAGGTCACATTTATCTGCTACATATGTCAATGAGGCTGTACTATATTCGCCACGTTGTTACTGTCGCATCGCTTCACTGCCATTTATAAATCCTCTCCCATGACCTCATGGGATAGTAAAGTGACCATCGAATGCGCACTTCAGAATCCCGACAGAAGTAGTAGGTCATCTGGGTACTTTTTGCCTACTGACTTTCAAATAATATGAATTCGGACATACTACTGTTTTCATGCTGTTTTTCGCATGCTATGTAGTAGGGAAGTATTTGATTTCGGACGCAGTGCATAACTAATGCAGAAGCAAAATGAGTGTTCATGTCCGTCACCGCTCAAGTGCTTGTCTCTCAGTGCTGTCAAAATAAAAGTCCTCCTGACAACACTTATAAGACCAAACAGAAAAACTCTGTAGAAAATACAAAATATTGGCTGATATATCAGCCTTGGCGATATATGTTGGTTGACCACTAGTTCAGACCACCAGTAAGTTTTTTTTCGCTGCATGTTACCAGTTGCTGTAACAATTGGTTACTAGATGATGGTGCTAAAGTTAAACTTGTCATGCCACAGACACAATCAAATCATGATGCTCATGTTGCCGTAAATCGCCAGCTTCATTAAAGTAAATGATTTCAGGTTGTTTTGTTGTTCCAAATCACTGGTGGTGTGAATGGTGAGAATTGTTAACATTTCAAATCTAAGCCACTGGGAATGAGTGTTCAAACTAGAATACATTTTATACCATTTTATTATGGAAATACCCAGGTTTAGCAATTAAGTTGCAAGATTGTCTTTCTCGCTTAAAGATTAATGGTATCCTTCCTGTTGCTAATCACAAGATGCGAACCTGTTTGTTGACAAACTGAATTACCTTGTTTGCATTTGTCTCAGCTCAAGATCAGCTTACCTTATTCTAACCCCAGAGTGTAGTGCAAACTCAGCAGGCTTTATTGCCGGCACATGAAAAATTTACAGGACCAATCTGCCAACTACTCCAGCATTTAAACCTTTAATAGATAAGTCCGAGCCGAAGGGGAAAAACCATCTGCTAATTTATGGAATATTGGTTTCCTCACTGGCTGTTCTGGGATATTTCCCCCCAATGTTTTATGTTTCAGGGGAAGTAACAAAATTGACTTGACATGGATGCAGAATGATCTGATAAGAGGCTAAGCAACTATGTTGTGAGGACACCCTCACTTCCTGGATTCCTGGTTTTCAGTTGGTTTTTAGTATGTGAGGATTTGTATTGCTTGACTTCTAAATGTTTGAATGATTTATTTCTAGTGATGGAGTACCTCAGGCTGCTTGTTTGTATATCCAATGTCCCCAATTATTTAATTTTATTTTTATTTTTGCATTATATAACATTCAAACCAAGTTACATTTATTTTAAAGAAATATAGCACAAATACACATTTCAATCAAAACATTTCACAATAATACGTGTGTTTTTAATGATAGATCATGCTGATACACTGCTAATCTGTTTCCCTGACTCACTTTTTTTTTTTTTTCATTTTCTTGTTTGTTTGTGCAACCTGATGAGAACATCTAAAAGGCCCGACACCCTCACTTGTTTATTAATTTGTTTATTCATTTACTCAATTGTTTGTTCACTTGTCAGATCATTCTTTGCAATAGTATTTGTTTAGTATGATTTGTTATGTAATTGTCATTTGTGCAGTCTGGAAAGAGCATCTGAAGACCTGGTAGGAGGAGAAGTAATCATTTGTATGAAATGTTCACAGTAACAACTTTCACCCTGTAGACTGTGTAGCTCTACTCTGAATTGACTGGTACTCGAATCTAGCTGAAGTTACACTACCTAACCTGACCTGCAAAAACACATTTGTACACAGAAAATGGTAAGTCATATTATGTGTATGTGTATTTGAAGTCTGCTGTAAATAACTTGTGTGAAGACAAGACATAAGTGGTCATAAGTTTTCAAGGTGGAGTTTAGAGCGCTATTTATATATTTATTTATGCTGTTTTTTCGAGAGTGAGAAAGAAGACAGAAAAAAATCATATGCCTTGAGCATAACATAAACTAGGATATCTCTGATAGCTTGCTGCATATGTAAACCCAATTGGGCAGTTTTTTTTTCTTTTCTGTCAGTAACATTACCTATTGTGTTTTATTTAACCCCAAAATCAAAAGAAATAATTTAGTAATTATCTTTAGCATAAATCGAATGAGAGCGATTTTACAACCCTTGGGATATTTTGGATAATGGCATTATAAACATGACAAATTAAGTCATCAAATTATTACTGTATATAATATATTGATATATTACATGATTAGTTATTATTGACATTTTTAATTATAATTATAAAACTATATTATGAACTTCATAATAAAACAATTAACAACTTTTTAACATATGCAATATGGAATTATTTACATGACAAATTAAGACATTAAATAATTACTGTAATTTTTTTATTATAATAGGCCTATATGATCGGGGCCCCTGCAACTCACTTTAAGGAGTGAAATATGGCCTCGTATGGGAAGGTTAATTTCTGTCATTGATCAGAAGGTGCTCCTAAATTTTTGACTGTGTTCCTATTTTTATTTTTTATTTTTTTAAGTAACATAAGCTTAGAGTCCTGAAGAATGAAATGTAACCTTTTACAAACTAATTGCAAATATGTATGCAAAGTGTAAACTATTAAATATAATCTACAAATCATGCAATACCGTACCACTGAATAAGAAGTGTTTTAATGGAAGGCTTAGCTAATCAGGCCATGTAGAGACAATTATTAATCATTCTCATTTTTTATTAAATCATTCTTTCATTTCACTAATCAACAGTCGTTTTTTGGTAAAAGCAGATAACTCCACATTTCATGTTTTAGAGTTTTAAAAAACACTTGTTTAATCTTTGTAATCTCCTCAGATGACAATGTAGATGCCTGACAAACGTTGTTGTTGTTGTGATCATAAACTGTATGGATGTGATTGCAATACACGGAGCTTTTCCCTCACCATTGTAATGCGCTGCTTTTGCAAGATTCCGTGAAAACGTTTCAGCTTTTATTTTCCTTTCTCACCCTGAAGAAGATATCACAGGTTGATCAAGTTCGTCGAAATTATCCATCCTCGATCACTTTTAGTCAGCTCCCCTGAAATAATCAGGGGACTATATTTGCATAATAAATGTGTAACAATAGGTGTATTCTAATTATATGTTTGCTGTTTATGTTTGACTGTTTAGATGTTATGTTTCCATTCCTCATCTTTCAAAATGAGACACTTTGTGAATTATTGGAAATGTAGATGGATAATTGTTGTTAGTGTGTAGACGGAATTCTCCCTACCAGCATGCTAATTTGGTTGCAGCCATCAATTTGTTGAGGCGATCTATACTCTCAAATGCTAATCTGCTCAACAGCTGTGAATATTTTTCATTAGACCCCATTCATAGCTTGATGATGAATGCAAATATGTTAGCAATTACGCAAGTTCTGTGGAAATGGATAATTGTTTGTGAAAGCCAAGACAGTCCGTTTTCAGACACAATCACACAGAGGCCTCAAGGTTTGCATTTCAGATTTGTTGACGTTGTTAGATTTCTGACTGAAACTGGGGAAAGTTTTTTATTTAGAAATGTCCATGTAACGATTGAAGTAACCTGAAGCTTTCTTGTTTTCAGACCTCGACTGCTACGGTGAATATAGTGGTGACTGATGTCAATGATAATGACCCTGAGTTCGATCCTCTGCTGCCCCTTAATCTCATAGTTCAAGAGGGAGAGGCGAATGCTTTTGTGGGTCAAGTAAAGGTAAGACCGTAACCACATTCAAAATTCTTTCTACTTGTTCTCCTCGCTGTTTGATCTCTAAACTGTTTGCTCTGCAGTTGCTTTCTGCCCTCTGGAGTCACCTCAGATGGAAATCATGAAGTTTACACTTCAGAGTTTAAGAGTGTAACTTTATGGTTACACTTTTCTGATCTCTCATCACTTATTGTTGATTTAAAGGAGTCATTCACCCAAGTCATTTTTCCACCCTCATGTCGCTAGCAAACCCACATGTACAGTGGCCGAGAGAGCTCAATGCGCTGCAAATGAAAAAACACATGCAAATAGAAAAAAAACACCTGCAAATTAAGAAAACATCTTCATCAATTTGACAACACACGTGCTGCAAATTCTCACAACACAACCAAATACAGAAACACGCTGCAAATTCTCTCAACACAAACAAAGAAACGCGCTGCAAATACAAAACAAACAAACAAAAACAGAAACGCTCTGCAAATATCCACAGACCACATCGGAAATGTTTAAGGGAAGCTCGTTTCTTTGTTTATGTTGTGAGAATTTGTAGCGCGTTTCTGTATTTGTTTATGTTGTGAGAATCTGCAGCGCGTTTCTGTATTTGTTTATGTTGTGAGAATTTGCAGCGCGTTTCTGTATTTGTTTGTACTGTAAGAATTTGCAGTGGGCTTCTGTCTTTGCAGTACATTTCTGTATTTGGTTGTGTTGTGAGAATTTGCAGCGTGTGTGTTGTCAAATTGATGAAGATGTTTTCTTAATTTGCAGGTGTTTTTTTCTTTCTTTTTTTTTTCATTTGCAGCGCGTTGAGCTCTCTCTGCCACCGCACACGTGACTTTTTATGCGACAAAAAAAAGAAACGCGCTGCAAATACAAAACAAACAAACAAAAACAGAAACGCTCTGCAAATATCCACAGACCACATCGGAAATGTTTAAGGGAAGCTCGTTTCTTTGTTTATGTTGTGAGAATTTGTAGCGCGTTTCTGTATTTGTTTATGTTGTGAGAATCTGCAGCGCGTCTTCTGTCTTTGCAGTACATTTCTGTATTTGGTTGTGTTGTGAGAATTTGCAGCGTGTGTGTTGTCAAATTGATGAAGATGTTTTCTTAATTTGCAGGTGTTTTTTTCTTTCTTTTTTTTTTCATTTGCAGCGCGTTGAGCTCTCTCTGCCACCGCACACGTGACTTTTTATGCGACAAAAAAAAGAAATGAAATTGAATTGCAATTTAATTGAATTGTTATCATTCTTTTAAGTTTCAGAATAGATGCAAAAGCATCATAAAAGCACCATAAAAGTAATATTGTGCACTATATTCGGGGTCTGATTTTTTATTTATTAGATTATTTATTGATTAGAAACAGATGATCATTTATGTTGTTATTTACTAACAATCATTATCTAAGATGTCAGAAGAGTTTGGAGTGTGTGAAAAGTGTTAGAGGTGAGAATACTAAACTGAGGACCTGAAGGCATAATCAAATTAACCAAAATAATTAACAAATGCAAGAGGCAGGAGATGAATGGCAGCATTGCAGTTCTGTGGAAATTTGTGGATCATTCTGCAGTCTGAAGTGTAGTCACATTAGTGAAACTTTGGCAAATTTCATGGGTAAAAAAGTTGCAAAATCTTTTACATTGGTTCCTTTTGAAATGACAGGATTTCTGCACTAATTTGCCTCTAATTTGCATAAATTTCCAAAACAAAAATCTGAACATTGGATAAAGAAAACAAATCTTGTTTCATTAATCTTGAGTGGTTTTGAACTGTACTGACTGATTCTTTAAAAATAATCTGCTCATGAGAGACATTTGTTTCAAGAACCACTATTTCTATTACTAATTGCATTAGTCACAAAATCTCAAATCATACGCCCGCTCCTTTAAATCCATCATAGTTACTTTCACTGAATCTGACTGTTCTTTTGTACAGTTCTATTTGATGATTTCAATCCCTTCCGTGGTTTCATATGACCGGTGTTAATCAGTGCCTGCTGGGGCGTGGGCGTGATGCCAGCAGCTGGAGTGTCTTTCTCTGCCCTCTTGAGCCCTCATCTCACTCTCTCCCCATCGCTCGCCCAGTTGGCATACACCCGCAGCATACCCGCCAAAGTCCCTGCCTGCTCCACTGTTTATGATTTTCCAATTAAAGAAATGTAATTTAAATAATTTGTTACCTTCGGGGACGTCCTGTAATGAGCAGCTTTGTTGGGCTCTGTTAAGCTGCGAAGAGTTGTAATTAGTGGTCTAGATTAATAGAGCTGCACTTTGTCATCAGAATAATCACAGGCTAATGCTGGCAGACTGTTTATTAGCAGAGCGTTCCTTAAACATGTCTACTTCGTGTCAGATAAATATACATCAGACCTCATGAAATGGGCAGGCATCATTTTACAGGGCTTTTGATTCCTGTGTCCTAGGGATACTACTGTATATCACGCTATCATAATATAATTTTTTTTTTCAATACCAGTTCATTTTTGGATAATCTAGTGAAGTAAATGCTTTCTAAAAGATAGATTCACTTATGTAACACTTAAGTTAAAAATAAACAAATAAATAAATAAAAAGAGAAAACTATGGAGCCAATAAGGGACATGGTGATGGTAAATAAAATGAGATGGCAGAAAAAAAAAATAGATGCTTTTGCATTCTCTCACAAAACTTGTGCTTTTCCCTGAGAAATTTTGCACTTGCTCACAAAACTTTTGCGTTCACACGCAAAAATTTAATGATGAAAATAATATGAAAAAACTAATTCGGTGCTCTTGTGAGCAAGCACAGAGTTTCTTAGGGGAGCGCAATAAGTTTGCGAAAGAATGCAAATGTTTTGCAAAAGAATACAAAGTGTGAGGCAGTGCAAAAGTATTTTTTCCTCTCATCTCATATTTTTTTTCCATCACCTAATATTTAAAACAGGCTGGTTATTGATATAGATTCCGGTTTTGATTTAATTTGATTAATTTGGCTATGTTTACACTGAAATGTCCATTTTGCTTGAACATACTATATAAAATAAATCCTTTATTTGCTAATGCTAATGATTATACAAGACAGTGTTTTAAACTGATTCAAACTAGCAACTTGTCTTTTGGAAATATTCAGTACAAATATGGCTCTTAAGAGACACTTGTTTCAGGAATCAGGCACAGTATCACTTTTTCCACGGTATATTTTTGATTCACTAAAAGCAACTCATATGAGTCATGGTTATTTTTATGAATTGAACTGTGTGGTTGAGCTGTATGTTTGACTCTTTGAAAAGAATCAGCTGAATAGAGCCATTTGTTTGTGAATCAGACTACACTGCTCGTGTTTGTTTTTGCATGCAGCCTGCAGATTAACTCAATATAAAGACAAAATCTTTTTATTGCTTTTATTGCTTATTCTGTATAGACTCTGAACTGACTTTCACAACTACACGACACATCCGCTCCATGTTTTACTTCCTGTTTCTCACATGTAATTAAGGTGAAAGGTCCTGCTCACTGAGATTTGCACAAATATTTATACTGCAGTATAGCAAAATTCCTACACTTGTATGTATATAACATCATGTTACAACGCCAGTGCTTTTGCTAATTGTTCACCTCTTGACAACGTGATATTTGTGTGAGCGCTGCAGTACGACAAGCTTCATTTACAAACCCTCACTTGTCCTGAATTCATTTGGAGCTCCTGACACGTCTCCCAGCGAGAGGCACATTGGATATGGTCCAAAGCTTAACGCTAGCTAAACATCCCCTACGGCTAACGTAGAGCAGCAGAGGTTTCCATATCATTAGAGAAATGCCCACAGAGCTCTATCAGCGCTATCACAGCAGAGCCTGCATCGCTGCTGATATTACACCTGGCCGGTGTGCTCATTTCAAATGACTCCAAATGCGCCACAGCATGGGAAATTTTAACTTGTTTGAAGTCGGTTAAGTTTAGGCCAGAGAGTCTTGTCTCATTGTCTGCAGTTGGAGAACTCGTTGGTTGACATGCTGTCCATATTCTTGTGCTTGTTTTTCATCTGAACGCTTTTTATGAACTCGTGTACTTGCCATTTTGATGTGGGCAAAAGCAGACACCTTAATGTTTTGCCGGCCTTCTCTTTGATGTACTTGTCTGTATTCCGTCAATACGCCTCATAATGATTTCAACTCAAAGCAGAAGTGAGACAAATAAGTGGGCAATTGTTGTTATCAGAGGCGCTACAAATTAGTGTGAAGCATGACTGCTTATTAGAAAACAGAGTGAGAACTTGTCTTTCTGCCATTATTTGCCTGATAATGCAATCATAATTTGTAAAGTCAATGTGAAACCCCTTTCACAAACCAGTTACTTGCATATACTTTTTTTCCAGTATATTCAACTAGAAAAAAATTGAATTAGGTTTTTTTTACATGACATCATTTTCAACTAAAAACTGAAAACTTTTTATGTGTTTTGGCCGTTCATGCACATGACAACAGTGTTTTGGGGGCCTGAAAATGCAACATTTTGAAAACGGGTTTCAAAGTGCAGGATTTTTGAAAACGATTCCATATCGTCTTTGTGTAAACTACAAAAACGCATGCATAATACATGTTCAGTCTATAGGTACACAGGTGCGAAGTGCTTCTTTACAAAGTGATATCGCCAACTACTGGCCTGGCATGCATAATACAGAGTTTTTAGTTGTTTTCGTGGATCTGTGTGAATGGGGATCATTTTGACTACATTGTCATCTGTACGCAAAGAGTTTAAAAAAAATGCAAAGGAAAACTTTTACGTTTTTATTACAGTCCTTTGATTTTGTACATCAAAACTGATTGGATTGTGAAAAATGGAGTCAGATTGTTGATAGCAAGAGACTATAAAGTAAGAGCGATTTGTGATGTCAGTTGAAAAGAAAGTTGTTTTAGAAGTACTACAAGTCATTGCATTTTGATGAAAGATTACAAAGACTTTGTGGAATCGTTCGCATTAAGAACAGAAAAGTGCATTAGCGTGTCACATGGGATTTTGATGTCACTGACTTCACTAAGGACAAAGCTTTAGTGTTCTCCATTTCGTGATGCCTGACTTTGGAAGCATTAGGAAGCAAAACAATTGTGGCATGTTGTCAGAGTGATTCTTATTTAATTTTTACAGAGTCTAGGGCCATCACAGAGACAGGTGAGATATGTAAGAACGCAAATTTTAGTGTGCTACTCCATAAAAAAAATAGCAACATTAATTAAAAATTTGCATTCTTTATCACCTCCTACTGAGTTTTTTACAAGACAAGCATCACAACATGCGTCCAAACACGAGCAAGCATCGTGTGGCATTTCTGCTGTGCCTTATATTCAAGTTTAATTAACTTTCGATTGATTACTGAGAAGATAAATGCTTTTATTACCGGCTTTTGCTTACCTTAGCATGCGGTAAAGAACACACAGGAAGTTCTGCCATCTCCTTAATGCTATCTTTATTTTGTGTTTGTTTTCCTACCATTTTTTCTGCCTTATTTTCAGAGGGCAGTTAACCTAAATGTTTCCAAATAACCAAAATAATTATATTCATTTAGTGCAGCAAATGAAAGCAAAAGATTTCTTGACCTTAAGGATAACATAGCTAACAGCCCATAAATAAAGGCACTGGGTTTCTGTGAAGTTCAGCTGTGCATCAGTGATTTTTTTTTTTTTTTAAATAAAACTTATATTTAAAACTTTTTAAATAAATAAATAGATCAAAGAAATATAAAAATAACTCATTTTCTTTTATTTATTTATTATTATTTATTAATCAGTTTTAACCCCAGCTCTTTTTGAAGCACATTGACTGTATTGCTGCTGGGTAATTAAGTTGTAATTTCCAATGTATAAAAAAAATAAATAAATAAAAAAATGTAAAATATAAAATACATTAAAAACAATTCATAATTTAAAAAAAAGTATTTTTTTTTTCATTCATTCATTTGTTCATTCGTTTGTTCATTTTGGAAAGTCTGTTATTCACTCACTTATTCAAAGCAATTCTAACACCAGCTGTTTTGGAACTACATTGCCCATATTGCTGCTGGGTAATTAAGTTATCAATTTCAACTTCCTACTTCAAAAAGTGCAACAAAATGACAATTGATGTTTAGTGTGAGCTTGTGAAAAGCAATAACACTGATTTCGCAGAGATGCGGATGTATAATTTCATGCAAATGTGATGGAGACATACACAGTTAATGACAAACATTTACTTTTCGGCAAATAAAATGCATCAGTGACTCAAAGATCTTATATTAAATGATAATAAAACCTGTTTATGAAAGCATTTGCAGAACCTGGTGTATAAAACATGGTAAGTGTTCTTCTCTCTTGATAATCACACACCTGCAAAACATATGCTTTGTGCATTGTGTTTCTTCATACATCGTCTTTGGTTAATGGAATGCAATATATGACACCTGCCGATACATACTTTACTATAATTTGTCTCTGCATATTTAACAGGGATTGGAGAAAGTTTTTTTAATACGAAAAAACATAACAGCAATTTTGTTTATAGCAATCACATTTTTCATTGTTGATGAAACTGGCAACTAGATGTGATGCTGTGAGCTGGTAAAGGCTTTTCATGTCTTATGTGTCTTATTTAGTATTATTTTGAACTGGTTTCATTTTTCTAATTGAAGAAACAGGCCACATCCCAAACTTTTCACTTTCACTGTTACTTTTGACAAGCTTGGTGGGCTTCAGAAAGCACACTGTCACCACCGCTTCAGTTACTGCATGCTAAAACTTTCTCTGAACCGTCTGTGTCACTGACATTTTCTTTAAGCATTTATCTCTTAATCATATATGAAACACCTCAAATTAAAGACATCACTGTAACTCACTGGAATGAAAGGAACCTTTGAAGTAAGCCTTTATCCCTTCACTAATATGTATCGTAGAGCTTGATTTTTCGGATTGTGTTCATTTAAACATGGAAAAAGTGGCTCTTCAAAGACCTGTCAAAGGGTCGAGTCTGTCATTGACTTTGGTGTTTCAGCTTTGGCAGTAGTAAATGAGTTTAGTCCCGACCCTTTGGAGAAGGACAGTGTTAGTTCTATCTACGTCTGTAAAATGTATAGCAGCCAGTCTTGGAATGCTTTGTTTCAGGGCTTATCAGAATCAAACGCACTTTGCCTGAGTGTCAATGAGGTGCTTTCATGCACAAGTGCTGAACGGATAAGAAGCAGATAACACAGCTGGGAGTTTGCGTGATGCCATTCAATCTGATATTTAAGACCTGTCTAAATGGAGAAACTTGAGAGGCCACAGACGGGAAGAGACACTTTATTGATGGTCCATTTGTCATTCACAGGTTATATCGTGAGATGTTCTTCCATGAATCAGAAAAGAAGAGACTTTGAGGAAAATCCTAGATGTTCTTTTCCTTACAATGAAAGTGAATGAGGACTCAAGCTGTCAAGTTCCAAAATAACAAAAAGAGTTGTATGGACTTTTTGTATTTTTTTTTTTTTTGAAGCTGAAAAGCTTGTTATATGGGTTTGGAATGACATGAGGGTGAATAAACAATGGTAATTTTCATTACTGGGTGAACTATTTCTGTACCGTTAAGATTTAGTAAGACTTTTTATTGATGTCTGTGAGCTGAGTGGGGATAATTGACATGAGAATGTCAAAGAACAACACAGTGCACCTGTCTGCACCACTGCAGGGAGTCACAAATCTTGCTGGTGTTTTTGTTGATTGTCTCATCACCCTGCTGATGAAGCAGGTGTCTTTGGGGGGGTGGTACGGTGACTTTGTGTGGTGACGTGTTGAAATTATAAACTAACGTTATGTTTTCGCAGCCATATGGACATGTTATTTCTCTCTGTGTGGGGCAGGGATCCCACAGTCATGAATACCTAAAAAAAAAGGGGGATTTTAACATTGAAATGGCAACGCCATGGGAATTTTGATAACACTTTACAGTAAGGTTAAATTCATGTTGATTAAAAAAGTTGACATTAGTTATTGAAGGTATCATGTACTAACAATTAACATGTTTGCCGCTTTTTTTAATCTGTCAATCTGTTATTAATATTTTATTGTTCATTGCTAATTCATGTTTTTTTATGTTAACTTATGTAACTTTGTTGCATTAAACATGAATATTAATGTTTTGAAATTAACATATTAACATTAAATTAATAATTGTTTATTGTAGTTCATGATAGTAATTTTACCAAACTGAACCTGAAGTGTTACCAAAATTT